TTTGCCTACTGTTAATCGGTATATCATTTATTGATCTAAACTGCTCTTTATTACATGTTCCAGGTAAGTTTTCCGTCTTTAACAATCACTGGGCAGGTATGCGATTAAGATCGTTCTTTCAGATGAACTGACCGGAGATGGCGGCCTACCATATCACACAACACCCTAAGACTGATATCTTTTTTCATACGTGCTTCAAACATACAATGAAAAGAATGCCAACAAGGAAATAGATAGGAGTTTTAATTCCTGCCAACAGCTTGTCGCTGTGTTTACCTTACAGGTCAACAATTCTTCTGATTTTATCGCGGTTGATTTATTAAAGGAGAAGAGGATGTTCTGTGATTACCTGATCGTATGCAAAAGAAAAAAAGGATTTGGCTTTGCATGTGATTGAATGGAAGTTTACACTATGTGAATATTCGCTTCTCCTTTAGTCAACCAGCCTTGTGGCTTCATAAGCAACTCAGTCTCGCTTTGCACTAAAGCAGATGTACTGTATATAGCTACCTTGATATCATGCATGGGGACCGTGCACATGTCTGACATGCATTATGCCTTGTATTCTGATTGTATGAGGTTTCCTATGATGTAGCTCCATGCCCTATTAAAGCTCAGCTCCGGCCTAAACTTTTGTTTTAAAGCCGAACTCCAGGGGAAATTATTATAAACCCTTGCAGTGGGGCTACCTCTGTACTGCAAGGGTTTAGTGCTTGTTATGGTCTAGGGTGGTAAATAAGAAAGTTATACTCACTGGATCCTCAGAGCCGGCCGGCTGTGATAGTGCTCCCTCCAGCCTCTCTCCTACGTTGCAGCGATATATGTTCATCGGCGTCCTCACGTCTATACACTTTGTATAGGACATGATGATTTACGGGACCTTAGACCTCTGCAGCGTAGGGGGAGAGATGCTCCAGAGACCGCTATAAGAGCAAGCCGGCTTGGAGGATCAGGTCAGTATCATTTTGGTTTTTTCCTCCCTAGACCAAAATCAGCATTTATCCCTCACAGTGCAGGGATAGCCCCACTGCAAGCGTTAATAATAATTTTCCTCGGAGTTAAATAGTTACATAGTTGTTAAGGTTGAATAAAGACACAGGTCCATCGAGTTCAACCTTTGGGTTGTGTGTGTGTTTGAAGAAGTGGCCGGGTTATTCTTTTTTAAGAGTAGATAAGTCAGAACTTCTGCAAGGTTATATAGCTGTGTTTGTCCTCATTGGGAAGATTGCCCTTCATTTACTGTGCAGGACAAGAAATGAGGTCACCAGGACAGGAGGTGAGGCTGATCTTCCCAATGGGTACACCAATACAGAGAGGTCCAAACCCTTCCCAACTAAAAACAACATTTTGGCTTTAATTTTAGTCCTTTTAAAAGTGTATTTTTTGAATATAGGTAAAAGACATCTCATGTATATGATCTTCTCAGCCTATTGTTAATGTTTTGAAAGCACTGTGCACATAGGTTTATGCATCCGACAACCAAATTTGCTCCTTACATGAGCATTTTGTACTTCCTGCTTAGTATGGCTACATAGTGGCCATTTTTTTATTGTTCCTCTTTCAGAGATCAAACCCATCAGTCTGCTCAGACATCATAAAAAATATTCTCATGGCTAACTGACCTTATCTCAGTTGCTTAACTTATTCTCTGAGAGGCAGATAACTGTTAGAGGGGCAATGTACAAATGTACTCATGAAACACAATCATCACCATATGTACTGTACCATAATAACACAAAACATGTACTCGCTGAAAGCAATCCGTAACTTCTTTTCAGAATTGTTCAGAAATTTAAAGCAACTTTGTCGCTAGATGAGATTGTTTTAAAAAAAAAATTAACTGCTGCCTGTATATGAAACATTTAATACTTACCTCTCCCACCGCCCACACCGCTGACCTGTCCCACTGCCTATACCACTGACCTGTCCCGCCGCCCGCACCGCTGACCTGTCCCACTGCGCGCACCGCTGACCTGTCCCACTGCGCGCACCGCTGACCTGTCCCACTGCGCGCACCGCTGACCTGTCCCACTGCGCGCACCGCTGACCTGTCCCACTGCGCGCACCGCTGACCTGTCCCACTGCGCGCACCGCTGACCTGTCCCACTGCGCGCACCGCTGACCTGTCCCACTGCGCGCACCGCTGACCTGTCCCACTGCGCGCACCGCTGACCTGTCCCACTGCGCGCACCGCTGACCTGTCCCACTGCGCGCACCGCTGACCTGTCCCACTGCGCGCACCGCTGACCTGTCCCACTGCGCGCACCGCTGACCTGTCCCACTGCGCGCACCGCTGACCTGTCCCACTGCGCGCACCGCTGACCTGTCCCACTGCGCGCACCGCTGACCTGTCCCACTGCGCGCACCGCTGACCTGTCCCACCACCCACACCGCTGACCTGTCCCATTGCCTATACCACTGACCTGTCGCACCACCTACACCGCTGACCTGTCATACTGCTGACCTGTCCCACCACCCACACCGCTGACCTGTTCCACCGCCCACATCGCTGACCTGTCCGACCTGGTTCTGAGCTACAGCGGCTGCAAAATCCTAACCCCTTGCTGCCAGCTTCTAGCAGCCCATTGAGGGGTTGTTATGTCGGGAGGCAGACGTGGGCTTCCCTACCATGTGATCTCCGTGATTGGGTGTCACGGTGATCTCCGTGATTGGGTGTCACGGTGATCTCCGTGATTGGGTGTCACGGTGATCTCCGTGATTGGGTGTCACAGTGATCTCCGTGATTGGGTGTCACGGTGATCTCCGTGATTGGGTGTCACGGCGATCTCCGTGATTGGGTGTCACGGCGATCTCTGTGATTGGGTGTCACGGCGATCTCCGTGATTGGGTGTCACGGCGATCTCCGTGATTGGGTGTCACGGTGATCTCCGTGATTGGGTGTCACGGCGATCTCCGTGATTGGGTGTCACGGCGATCTCTGTGATTGTTTGTCACGGTGGTCGCTGTAATTGGGTGTCACAGTGATCTCTGTGATTGGGTGTCACGGCGATCTCTGTGATTGTTTGTCACGGTGATCTCTGTTATTGGGTCAGGAATGGATACACGGTGTCTGTGTATAGGTTTGTATAGTTTTGTAACCTGAGCAGCACTACAGGAAGAGTCCCTGAGCTGAAAAGGGAAGTTCTCCCCAAGCGAAAATACATGAGGATTTAAAAGGAAGAGCAGCAAAGAGAAGGGAAACAACCATGGATTACAGTAAGGCACACATTACAGTATTGGTTTATGTTAAAAAATCTGAGGGTTTAATGTCACTTTAAGTATGGAGGTCCATTCTCTACAGCGCCCAAGAGATACATGTGGAGCCGGTGTGCCAATTACTTCCTACTTTGTGATTACTTGTGACTACCCTGCTAGATATATATGCTAGGTGGTTCCAACTCTCTCAGCTCGGCTTCCCTGAACTTTTTGTCCAGTAAAAGAGCAATCTCCAGCAGTCAGCCATCTACTAGTTTGGAGTTGGACAAAGAGAGGAGAGCAGAGGAGTGGCTTGCCCTGCTGTACCTGTGTTTTTGTGGAGACACACACAACTTATTAGCACACACAAGGGTGACTCCATAGGACCCTGCAAGGGAAATGAGCTATTCTAATACATGCACTACTTTTTTCAACTGCAACACATGGTATTGTGGTACGAGCGCATTGTGGTCGGGAGGTACATTTGGGGGGGCCATTCAAATGAATGGCAACGCAGCACACCTGCCACACTGTAACTCACAGTAGGTGCCATGCGATTAACGCATGGCATTGGTGTGAACGGGCCATCAAACAGGATATCAGGACCAATGCTCAGGGAACCAGCTGATTCTGCAGGAAAGTAACATTTTTAAACAACAAGGAGCAGCATCCATTGTAAGTGATTTCATGAGCATTTACCCTTATCCACTCCAAATGAAAAGGTCAAAAACACATTGGAAACGCACATCAAAACGCATGTCAACACACAAAGAAAACACAAGTCAATACACTTACCTAACACCACAAAAAACACACCTCTATGCACATGAAAGGGTCTAAAGCAATTGCAGCTGTTCACTTTGCAAAGTAAATGTTGACTTAGCTTAGTAAATAGGGCAAAGCTGTGTTCACTCTGAATAGCCGATCATATGCAAAGTAAACTTAAAACAGGATTTTTACTTGCTCTTGATTGGATAATAGAAGTGAGCACAGCTTCACCTTATTTACTAAGCAAAGGGAACATTTTCTTTGCAAAGTCAACATGCTTTTTCCAAAGTCAGCCTCCTTTTGCTAAGTGAACAGTCTCTATTCCTTTAGTAAATCAACCCCTTGGTATATAAGTGAAGGAAGAGGGCCAGCCACCACAATAACAAGGAGGGCTTGCACGCCTGTAGGGTACAGTGAATTACATGCACACTCTTGCATAGTCCTCGTGGACAAAGCTTCCGATATGTAGGGTGGACAGTGATGAACGTAAATTGAGAATATGCCATGACAGGCGTTCATTCTATGCGCTTTTACACTTACAGTTCTATAGAGTAGCACTCACAGGGCCGCTCCGATTTCTGGTTACAGTAACAACACAAGTTCTGACTGTGAACTTTTTCTATTTGCACCGGCAGTTAAAGTTTCAGGACCAGCTTCCAGGGGTCTACCCCCTTCCTCTATGGTCCAAACAGTACTAATCTAATACCATGGTGGCAGCACTGTTTAGACTATAGAAGAAGGGGGTAGACCCTTGCAAACTTGTCCTGAAGATGTAACAGTTGGTGCAATTAAAGTTAGAAAGTAGTCAACAGTATTGTTGCAATATTATTATTATTATTATACAGTATTTATATAACAGCAACAGTTTGCACAGCGCTTTACAGCATGGAGGTAGACCGTACGGTTACAATACAATTTCAGTACAGGAAGGCGATAGTGCACTCATACAGCTACAATCATCTTAAGCATGGTTACACTAACAAGGTTCAGCACAAAGTTTGTTGATCAGACCTCAGACAGAGGCTAGGATTTCTTACCAGCTTATGCGCTTTTCCTTTGCCTCCCTGCTTGACTTTCACGCTTGCTCTTTCCTCTGTCAGCTCCCACTTTGGCCTCCCATGTACTCTTTCCTACCACCCACCCCCCCTTCCTCCCAGATCCGATCACACTTTGCTCCCTATAGTTTAATGCTTTTTTTCTCTCTCTTCTTCCTGCAAGTCTATAGCCACCCCTCCCACTGCCTTCTCCTCCTAACGTGTGATGATCTCACCCCCTCCTCCCCCTACCGGCTATCATTTTGTGTTCCCTGATTGGTCCACGGGCTCATGGAATTTCCCGGCAAAGGCTAAGTTTACCAGAAGACGCTTGTTTATTGGTCTACATTGTGTAGATGTTGAACATGTATTGCTGGTCATGTATAAAGCATATATGTATTTCAATCACTTAACGATCAAACAGAACAATGCGGCCATGATTGACAACGTTTCCGACCCTGGCATAAGTTTTCAACCAACTTCAGGAGTGCTTTGAACTAAGAAGTGCAGGAAGTGTGTTAAAGTGACACTAAACTCAGGAGTTAAATCTTAAAAATGCATTCAAGTACCTTAATTATTAACAAAAATTTATTTTATTTGTGTATCACTCGGCTGTAGATCCTCAAATCATCTCTGAATTCATGCTGTCACTCTCCTTCCTTCTGAGGGGGGGCTTCTTTTGTTCTCCATGGTCCCCGTGTGTGTTGTAAAGTAGCCACCGCTCCAAGCTCGCTCCAGTGGAGGACTACAATCTCATATTTAGTTTACTAATTTGTAATAAGATTGTAGTCCATCACGGGAGTAAGCTTGGAGTGATTGCTTCTTTACAAAACACACACAGGGACCATGGGGAACAAAAGTAGCCACCCTTCAGTGTCAGCATCAATTCAGAGATGATTGGAGGATCTACAGACTGAGTGATAAACAAATAAGGTATAGTATTGTTAAAGGTTAAGGTACTTGAATGCATTTTAAGATTTAACTCCTGAGTTTAGAGTCACTTTAATGTATTTTAACTAGGGATGTCCCGATGCCACTTTTTCAGTCTTAATAAATCTCCCCCCCAAATCTGCCCTCACTCACTGTGTGACTGTGCCGGAGAGAGCAGGGACGAGTCAGCGGTAGCGCTGGTCCAGTGGGAGGAGCTCCAGGTGGGGTCCTAATTTAGCTGACTTAGAGGTGCCTGGCAGTTAAATTAGAACCCCACCTGGAGCTCCTCTCTCCTGACAAGCGCGCCGCTGACTCATCCCTGCTCCCCTGCTCC